GTTATATATATATATATATATATATATATATATATATATATATATATATACACACAATCATATATTTGTAATTTTTGTTGCCTTTATTCAGTCCAACAGGGCAAATATGTATGATACAAATCTTTTTATATGAAAACATTAACGTTACATACATCAAACTATTAACATGCATATAAACTGACCTGTCCACGTGGTGGTGCTCGTTTCTTGCCCGTCGTCTGATAGCCAGTTGACAACCCAACCGAAGGTTCCGCTGTCCTTTAGGGGTGGAAACCCAACTAAGGGCTCAGTCTTTTCCACTACCCCTCCATAATCATCCTGGACCACAACAAAGTAACAATCAACCTAAAACGTTGGTAGCAGACATCAGGATGAAGCTGATTCATTGTTTTAAAACTTCCACACGTATGAAAAGTTCAAAAAAGTAAATCTTTATTACAATTTTAGATCCTTTTTCTATGACCTTTAGTTGAACCACAAATATAATGATTTCATGTAAACCAATCAATGCGTACTTCAGCCACAGCTGTGATATACTCGCCCCTCAAAGTGCCTTCCTCTGTCCTTAGGCACACTTTCGATGTATGCTGGTTCACCCATTCCCCCTCAATACCACAACAATGGCGTTGGGCGGTTTTCGACAAGACGGCAGACCTCATCATCCGGTGGAAGGATGGGCGAAGGATTACGCCAGACACAGCACGGAACATGGTTTGAGATTCTTGGTCAGGTCCCTGTGGCATGCACAGGAAGCAAAGTTTTAGATTCGAATCCAGAGAATTTAGGCTTTGTATAAAAGAGCTCACAAGAACACACAGCCTCCACATACACATAGATGTGTTACAAAATCACCATTTCAAACAACCCAACTTTGAACTGTTTAAGATTTGTTCATGCGAAATTTCTCCTCAGTTGAGCTCTCACGCATTCAGAAATGCGAAATAGTTCTTACGGTGAGTTAAGAACGCTCCGCTATAGAGGCGTCGCCAAAAACGTCGCGGCTTCGCAGGCGATTGGACGCGTCAGACCATGTCTCATTGATATGTATACCCTATAACGTGAACCAAACCCACATGTACTGAATGGTTGACACGTCACTACGCCTAAAGGTTCTGATAGAACAGGTCTTTCTAGTCTGTCTCTAATGTTAGCGCATTACGTGATTTGACTTATAAATATATCTATAAAGTCTTTAGATTTAATCAAAGCTAGAAATTTTCCAACATAAATGTCTGCCACTGATCGACAGCGCATGCGAAGCAATCCAGTGTGTTACAACAAAGGGCGGTTGTGCCGGCTATACAGATGAAGATCAATTTATTGTCGGAATGTGGCTTAAACTCGAAGGCCATGTTACTGTATGTAAACACGCCCAACCCATGCTTCTGAAAACTCCGCCATGTATCTAACAAATTTTCTCTGGCAGAAAAATCTGCGTTGTGATGAAATGTAATTTTTAGTAAAAAAAAACGTTAACGGTAGCAACGGTGAACTATGAAGGACAGCAGAAGTGATCTGTTTACTCCCTCGAGGAGTGCCACCGAACATGTTAAGCTAAATTCCCCCTATTTGATACTTCGTCTCAGAAAAATTGTACCTACTCTGAGATATCTGTGAAATGACTACTTAATCAATTGTATTTCGGTCCTAATCTTAGTTATAGACCATAGTTATAGAACATTAATGACATACCTGTTCACGAAGACGACGGTGAATGGCACAGTCATGTACACAACTAAAAATACGGCAGCGATATTTGAGCGTGTCAGGTAAAAGTTCACATAGAGTCAAATGCTACACATTTGCCCTGAAGTTTATGTGGTGCGTGGTGTATATGTGATGATTCTGGGATGTTTCATGTAACACAAGTGGGCTTCATCTCAGCTCCCACATACACATACATGTGTTACAGCATCACCTTTTTGAGTAATCCAACTTCGAACTGTTTTCAAATCCTCCATGCCAAATTTCTCCTCAGTTGAGCTCTCACGCATTCAGAAATACGAAATAGTTCTTATGGTGAGTTAAGAACGCTTCGTAATAGAGGCGTCGCCAAACACGTCGAGCTTAGCAGGCGATTGAACGCGTATCTCATTAATATGTATACCCTGTGTGACGTCACTACGCCTGAAGGTTCTTATAGAACAAGACTCTCTAGTCTGTCTCTGATGTTAGTGACATACGTGATTTGACTGATAAACATATCTATCAAAATCTTAGTTTTAATAAAAGCTAGAAATTTTCCAACATAAATGTCTGCCAAGGATCGACTGCGCCTGCGAAGCAATCCATTGTGTTACAACAAAGGCAAAGGATGGTTATACCGGCTACACAGAAAAAGATCATTTTATCGTTATATCATGGCGTTAACTTCTGGGCCATGTTAATGTAGGTAAACACGCCCAACCCATGCCTCTGAAAACTCCGCCATGTATCTAACAGTAGAACAAGCTGCGTTTTGATAAACTGTGCTTTTCAGTAACAAACGGTAGCAGCTTGGTGAACTACAAAGGACAGCAGAGCGGTGTTCACAGTTGACTTGTCACTCCCTCGAGGACTCCTGCCGAACATGTCAAACAAAATTTGATACTTCGTCCTAGTCAACAAATCGTACATACTCTGCGATATCTGCAAAATAACTACCACAAAATCAGATGTGTTTCGGTCCTAATCTCAGTTATAGACCATTAATGACATACCTGTTTATGAAGACGACAGTGAATGGCACAGCCTGGGTCCCATTCACGTCATGTACTAAACTGGAAAAACGGCGGCGATAATTGGGCGTGGCAGGTAAAAGTTCACATGGAGTCGAATGCTGTACCTTTGCCCTGGAGGTTATGTGCCTCGTGGTGTCTGTGATGCTTGTGGGGTGTTTGTAACTTGTCATAACTGGAGGGGGATGATATTTGGTATTTGTATTCAAGTTGTATGGCCAGTAGGTAGGTTGGGGTTGGAATTACGACAGTAACTTTCGACTATGGCCATTCTAGTGGATTTTATTACTACGTAAATGTACTTAATAAATGGTATCAAAGAAACCGAACCACAATATGCCATGTGTATTTCCAGAAATCACTCTATCATGCCATAACATTTTACAAGTCACCATTGATATGCAAACATCTATTCAAAAGTGATAGGACTACAATCTCTTTCCTTACATACACACACTAAAACACATAAATTTTGCCTATCATAAACAAATTAAATGTATTATTGTATATTTCAAAATATTCTAACAATAATCGGAAACAACACTGTTCCCAACATATAGTTACAACAAATACTTTTAAAAAGTATCAAATGTTAAGACTACAGAAACCGTGCTTGGAATACGGGTTCCATTAACACACCAATTAAAAACGATTCACGGAATAGGCATAGCGACAGTGAATAGTGCACATTGCTACTTTGGTTTTAAACTTGTTACATTATTATGAAATAGTATTGAATTCAAACATTCCTACATTAATTTTATGACTTTGAATGTAAGACTTTTATAGTACGTTTGTGCTCTTACAAGTTAAGTACGGACCATACATGTACAAAGAGGTAAAAATAACAGTAGTGTCTTACTAAAACTATACATTCTAGTAGTACGATAAAATCTTGGACTCTTTATGGTACAGTTTCATATGGGTAATAATCCGAATCTGTCACTGCATCATTGCCAATCTGGTCATTCTGACTAACACTGTTTACATCTGAGGCAGTCGCCATATTGTTCACGTTAGTGTGTGAGGCATTTCTGTCAAGCATCTTACGAATTGCTTTGATATCAACTGAATCGTCACCAAGGTGATATTGGGGTACATCAAAAGTGTACGACTTTCCGTAAGCCTCGACTTCTTTTGGCACGGTTTCATACGTACATGAGGCGTAATCTGACTCCAAGTCTTCTCTAAATTGCCCGGCAGTTGTTTTGTGCATGTGACTGCCTGGGGCGTTTTTGCAAGGATGCTTTCTGCGTTTTGCTTTCATATCATCTGCCACATCACCAAGATGATACTGGGGTACATCGAAAGTGTACGACTTTCTGTAAGTTTCAGCTTGCTTTGGTACAGTGTCATATGAGCAGGTAGCGTAATCGGGTTCTATCCCCGTATCATCAGAGTGATTTGGGGGAATATCGAACGTATATGGCTTCCTATAAGCTTCAATTCTTTTGGGTATGGTTTCATAAACGTGGGACTCGTAACCTGTTTCCAGATCCTTGCCACAATCTGTCTGGTCATCAAATTGGTCTCTCTGGCTGTTTTTAACTTTGAGTTTGGGAGTATTGGTTGAAAATTGGGCGGCAGCCATGTTTTGAACGTGACTGTCTGAGGCGTTTTTGTCGATTTGCTTCCTACCCATTGCTCTGATTTTAACCTCCGTATTACCAGGATTATATTGTGGTGTATCGCAAGCATACGACTTCACATAGGCATGGATTTTTGGGGGTACAGATTCATAGATGCTTTCGTCTTCTGACTCTTCGCTAGACCCTTTCTCATCATCGAAATGTTTTGTCTGATTGACATTGACTGTGGTAGTGTTGTTTACGACTTGGCCCGCCGCCATCTTGTTTGCGTAGCCACGTAAGGAATTTGTGTCATGTTTCTTCCTGCGCTGAGCCCCCGTTTCAGATGGAATGTTGCAAAGATCATACTGCGGTACTTCAAACCTGTACGACTGCACGTAAGGTGTAACTTCGTCAGGGATACTGTCGTATCCACACGAATCTGTTTCCAGACTATTTCTGTACCCATTCTGATCGACACCAGGGTTCACGTTACTTTGGGGAGTGGCCATTGAAATGTTGTTTCCAATATGGCCACTCGATACGTAAAAATGTGATGGAGTTTTAGCGGCCACTCGCTTCCAACGTATCGCACAAAACACAGCCAAGACTATGCATCCACAGAAGACAACAATCACTACAACTGCTATGAGAGTTAGTACCCATCCTGATACTGTGGCCACTGGTTGTGGGAGTGACTTTTGTAAAGTCTGTGTGGTTTGTATCATTTCTGACACAGAGTGAATACTGTGCACTTCTTTCGTAGCCGTGCCTGTTGAAACTATTTTCTTTCGAAAGGTATTTGGAGCCGTCCTTGTTGTTTTTGCTGTTGTTGTTGTTGTTTTTGTTGGTGTTGTTGTAAACGCATTGGTGACAAAGAGGACATTTAGCTTTTGAGATATGCGATATTTTTCAGTCGTCTGCCGTACTGATTTAGGCTCATTGCTTGCTTGCAAAAGTTTCGGAACGCTGGCTAAAGTTGTAAGTGCCGGCAAAGTTGAAGTAAGAACCGTAGACGTCGTATTGTCATCCCGACTTTCTAAGGAACACGTTTTGTTCAGAGAGCAGGCTTTATTTAGGTTTAGTGTGTCATTTCTACCAGATTTCCTCTGGGAAAAACACACAGAGACATCCAGTCGGTGTATCTCCACCCCAGCGACGCTAGGGGGCGTCTTACAACGGTACAGGGACAGGTGCCGGTACAACTCGAGCGCCATCAAGTCTTTTGTCAAGAGATCGAAACAGAAAATTGAGAGTTCAGACTGGCAGCGCCAAGCATTCCTTGCCAATTTGACAAGCCAGGCTAAGTCGCAGTCACAATGGAAAGTATTACCCCCAATTCTAACTGTAAATGGTGCAGTCGAACTACTGTTATGGACTCCTATGTCACATGAAGATATAGTCTTCAGTTTGTTATAAGAAATGTTCGCCTCTCTGAAGTTTGGCAAGAAACTCTTGAGAGGAAAAAAGTTTACGCATACGAGCTGATTATACGACAGATCTAAACTTATCAACCTTGGCATGCTTTTCAGGCACCTCCACGAAATGATTTTGATTTTGTTATTTCGTAGGACGATCTTAATTATTTTAGGCAAAGGGGTACAAGGGAATGAAGTTAAGGCGTTGTTTGGAAGGTTAAGTTCGAATAATGATTTGGGTAGATCTTTAGGAACACTTTTTAAGCCTTTGTTGTCACAGTGTAATTCTATCAAACTTTGGGGATTTTTTAAAACACATCCTTGAACTATCAGTTCTGAAAGATCTGACGCATTGCTGTTATGCACTAGACGTGCAAAGATAATTACAAAACTCACAAAAACATGCATGTTCGGTGATAACGAATGTCTAGTAGGTACATACGTTATCAAATGATTGAAAATGAAAAAAAGTTTCAGAAAACGACTAGTACATTAGAACAATCAATGGTTGATACAAGCAAGGAAAGATACTATTGATAATAACTATACAATAATTATATCCATTGGCTACTAGATGGTAAAGTAAACCTATTATGTTGTTTTCAGTCTAATAAGATATTACTCTTGGCTGCTTGGTGACTTGTAGACTGGTTGGTGTATACAGGCGTCCACGTCACTCCCATCCCTTATTATCGTCAGACATCAGAAACGCCAGGCTGATCTAGAAATACTAGTATTGAAGAAAAAAAGAATTACAACAAAAAACATTATGCTAGTTACATACAAAAAAAATTACAACGTATCCACAGGGTGTAATTCTTCGTAGGCCGTTGTCCGATTTTTTTTATATTCCAACATGTAATCACAAGACGTGGTGACAGCACACTCATTTTTATTTCAACTTATATTAATGCCGTCACCAACAAAGGGGACAATACAATACTCATTTTCACCTGAGTGAAGTGAGGAAAGTCGTGTAAAGTGCCTTTCCCATGGGTACAAGATCGGTGACATGTCAGGACTCGAACCCAGGACCTCTTGGTTCCGAGTCGAGCACTCTGCCGCTACGCCACTCGACCCCACAAATTTGTCAGATTTGTGACGCAGTAGAATTTTCAAGCAGGCTGTAACAAAATAAATCAACCGTCGGCAAGGACCTAAGACAGCGTTTTCTGTAACAAGACAGTTAAACTTTACAGGACACATCTAAGACTACTACTAGCTACCCAAGCTGAATGCGTGCCCTCCGTTTGCGACGTCGTGCGACGAACGCACGATGTATATATGTGACCGGGCGCTATATTATGCTGTACGTTCCCAGTGAATTCAAAATGCATAACCATCTATACTACATGTACAAACAAGAAAACAAACTTATACCGCACCATTTAATTGAAGGTTTCATGTAGGAATAGGTCCACAATCTCAAAATGAACATGCCACTAAGAATCTAGTGGAAATTCTTTTTAACCCTGATATATACTCATTACAGAAAGGGAAAACAAATTTTGTTATATAATAGAAAACCACGGGTTCAATGCACGCAAAACTAGTGCCTGCAACTGATTCGCTAGCCTCGCTAGCAGACTCTTTCAAGGGCCTACATAGACCAGCTCCTTGGATCCAACATGCCTCAATGATTTTTTACAGAGGCCATGGTCTAACCTGGGCACTTTCCCATGTTAATATATGGGAATTATGCCAAAAAAGGGATCAAAGGACATATACCTGAGTTTAGACCGTGAAAAACATTGGCAGGGTAGGTCAAGATGTATATTTGGACAAAAATAAAAATATCCTATGCAGTGGAACCATGCATCAATTCTGTCCGAACACTGAGAAGTGACCCCTGACCCCTTTGGACGACTGATGACCACATGAAAGCGCATATCTTCTTTAGCGAACCAGATAATTCTGACTGGTTTACTGTGCACTGACACTAGATGTTACTTGGTGCATAGTGCATTATTAAGGGTGTTACATAGTTCATAGTGCACTGAACTATGTAACACACTCAGTACGCTATGTAACACCCTTAGTGCACTATGCACCAAGTAACATCTAGCGTCAGTGCACAGTAAACCAGTCAGAATTGCCCTGATGAAGATGACAGCCGGTCATCGAAATGTAGGCTTGTGAAAAATAAATGGTTGTGATCAAAGAACTTTGTTATTCATTCGTTAACCAACCTGATGAAATTATTTACGGAACAATATAGACTTTTTTTATATTTGGTTTCAGACTGCACCTAATACTGAATACCTGGGGCGGGGGGCTCAAGTAGAATTTACTTGGGGTTATGCTTGCCCTGGATCCAAGTAGCTGACCTAGATAAGCCCTGAAACAGTCTGGCACCTAGGCTACCGTTTCGTATACAGTGTTGCCATACAAACCACACAACTTAATTGTCTGGCTCCCCTTTAGCTATTCCGTGACATGTTATTTTGCTACTGCTGTGAAATCTTGTGCATGCGATCTGTGGTTTTAATACAGTCTAGATCTACTGTTAAATATGAGCAAGAAAATGGACTCCCTTTAGTCATAAAACTCACACTTTGCTTGTACTATTTTTGTCGACATTTCAAGGCGTGCAAAATAGATAGTCACCATAACGGTAAAAAAATGGCAAGAAGAATATCTTCTCGAACACGTTTTTAAAAATAATATTCATCCTCATAAATTGCTAATATTCTGTCATCGAACTTATTTTTTTTCAAAGATTGCCTTACCTGAAGTTTTCCGGATACAACTAGTTGACTGGCCCCTGCTGTAGTGCTTGCAGAGCTGCGTGGCCTAAGGGCTATTGAAACGGAGATAGGCACCGCCCTGAAGGCCTAAAGGCGTAGGAAGGATCTTGAGCTGTAAGTAAGTATCTCGAGGCAGCTAAAACTGATGCTGCGATTCTTGGCACCCTTCGACGACGGAGTGAAGCAAGAAAAATGATACCCCTGCAACATCACGTAGCTTGTCACGTGTTATTGTTGCACAGACCACCAGTCTTGGCCCTCGCAGATATTATTTTTCTCCGAACTCAGACCAATCTGCTGATGTCATTATGCTCGCCTCTTCTGCACTGATTACCGACTAGTTTCAGGAACAGGTGGTGGTACAAGGACATTCTGTGTATAACGGTCCTTGGGTGATACAACTAAGTTCGATTGTTTTAGAACTCAAGCGTTACCTATGATTCAAGTTTAGAATTTCGATGCAACACAAAACATTTTGAAATCTTTACGTTTATCCACAGCTTTTCTGTGAATAGTTTTGGATGCGCGGTCTTTAATAAAATATTGCCCCATACAATAGGTCGAGGACGTTTGAGAGTTAATACACAATGTAATACACCTGCCCAAGCTAACTGGGAAGTTTAGAATTTCGATGTAACACAAAACATTTTGAAATCTTGGAATTTATCCACTGCCTTTCTAGTTCTGTGAATAGTTTTGGATGCGTGGTCTTTAATACAATATTGCCCCATACAAAAGGTCTAGGACGTTTGAGAGTTAATACACAATGTAATACACCTGCCCAAGCTAACTGGGCCAGACAGTAGACCATAAAATGGCGCTGCTGGCGTGTTTTTGTTGTCATGTAAACAATGTTTTATGTAAACAGGGCAAGGTGAAGGAGATAAAAAAATGACCCTCTAGATGTGCTAAAATACATGATTTTACCCCTACCTCTAAGCCCACCAAATACATGGCCCTTCCCCAAGAAAGAAAAAAAAAACACTACATTGTCCACTTTCTTTTTCATTGTCTTCCCCCTAGGCTAACAGCAAAACATAAGAAAATCTTCCTTCTGGGCAAAAACATTTGCTCTCTCTTTCCCGTAAAATAAAATCCACGACCTTCTCCAAAAATATACATACGTCCTGCCTGTCTATCTTGGTAATTTGCAACCCACGCTAGGCGGCATATCTCTGAAAAGGACGCTGTTGTTTTGTATGTCAAGGTTCATGGTGTATGTTTTTCTGAAGTGAAGGACGGATGCAGGGAGAGTGGGTGGGTGGGTGGGTGGATATTTTAGTAACAGGTGATTGACAGGGAGGTCATTCGCGGAAACCCCAAATACTTTCCGAAGGTCTACAATCTCTGATTTTTGGCGACGTCTCAGGGAGGAGCCTAATGGTACAGTGTGCAATTGGCAAGAATTCTAGGAATTGTACAGGCATTTTGTCCACAGGAATGGAATGTCCACAGGCATGTCTCTGACCCACATCTATGCCCACATTCCTGGAAACCCTTGGGAAGACCCAGAAGACCTGTCTGCCCCAGATGGCCCTACTTTCTGTGACCCCGGGGCTCGTTCACTATACACTTGGGGGAGGAGTGCACTGTATCTGTCTTGCTCAAAATCATGAAATGGTGGCAGTGCCATGCAAACAATAACCCTAACATCAACCACCGTCACCATGGCAACGTATATTTTCATTGCCTGTCTTGTTGTTGTATAAGCTACTCTACTCTTATAGTCTCCAAGCAGATGTGGGAAGGGTGAATCTGGACCATATCTGATCTCCTATTTTTCAGTAATACGTTTCAATCCTACACATAGCATCTTAACATCTGCTTGGAGATTAACCCTACACTGCACTCACCTCACCTCACCTCACCGGTCCCATAGCAGTCTGTCCTGCCGTCGGGGCAACTAAACTGTCCACAAGAGTTATCCACCCAGGGCGGTTCTCAGCCAGACTTGTCAGGTGACTCAGGGGATGTCATGTCCATTCATGAATGAATAATAGAGTTTCTGTAACTTTATTTTCCATCAGGTTCTTCTTTTCTGTTACAATTACT